CCCCCATGTCCTTCCCAGTCCTTTTAAAGGTGGCATTTCGGTTGGCAGCGGTAGGCTTGCGCTTGGGCTTCTTGTCCTTCTTCTTGTCCTTGCTGCTCCCTGCTCCCAAGCCTGCTTCCTCAGCACATGGGGAAGAAGCCGCAAATTCAAAAGCAGAAAACTCACAGGAACTTACAATTCAGCACATCAAAGAACACCTCAGGAACCTTGGGGTTTGCCCCTTTGGGAAAAGCATGGGAAAACACTTAAGACTTATTGTATTCTGGGCTGAGTGTCACGACTCGGCCCACGCACTAAAGGAAATCCCCAGAAGCCCGGCTGCTCGCTATCCGGTGTCTTCATGCGCATGGTCGATTGATCAGCGCACGCCTTGGCATGTTCCTTGACAGACGAGGCTTGGAACTCCTTGGAGAGAAAGTCTTTGTCCACCACCTCTGAACCTGAACTGCGGTGACCGACCTTCAAAAGAAAGCCACACTCCACCAAGAAAAAGGACAAACAAAAAAGTGCGAGTACGGTAAAGAACTAAGAGGCCGCTGGAAGAAGCATCGCCATCCTCGGCAGAATCAGTCTCCTCATTGGGGCTGAGGTCTGACTTGGCGCGGTCTAGCTTCTTTTGAAGCTTGGTCTCAGGTGTCTTGTGCAGCCCATCAGAAAAGAATTCTTCCTCCTGACTCTCACCATTCCATTTTGGCACAACTGTAGGGGCCATGGAAACGTCGGACCCCGCAACTGACGAGGCCTCGTCATCACTCATGGGCTCACGGCCTGAGTCTTCGGCACCCTGAGCAGGATCAGCCTCATCGTCAGCATCCGATTCATCAGAAGAGCTGACTGGCTTCTTCTTTGGAGCTGGAGGCCGGAAGAGTGGAGTGCCTGATTCTTCTCCTGAGCTCTCATCAGGAGCAGCACCATTGCCCTCATCACTTGAGCATTCATCAGAGTCACCAGCTGTTGCCTGCGTCGACTCATTGGTGCCACTGGACTGTGACGGTGTCTCGGCCATGGCCACAGTCTTTGGCACTCGAAACCTGTCCCAGTACTTCTTGTTCTTGGCAATGGCATCTGGTGGCGCCACTGGTAAGTCGTCCTAGATGGGCCAAGAAAATGTTCAGACTCTGTGTCCAATTGCATCGTTATCAAAACAATTTCTTCTCTACCCATGGTCCTTGGAGTCCTTCTTGCCACCATTCGAACCCTTGCTCGGACTGCGGCGAAGAAAGGACTTGAGTTCAGCCACCCGTTCGTCGTGCGACTCCGTGCCTCACACGCAGCGCACAAGATGGGTGCTGTAGACCAGAACCAACACGTGCAGTGGAGAGACCTATAAACAAACAAAAGCGCACCCAAACCAAACAAATTGTTGAACTCTATTGGGCAACTGTTTCTGAAGAGGTGGCGGAGAGACCCCATGAGTTTCTTCAGACGTCTCCCTTCTTCACAAGCCATAGTGGACTTGGAATCCCCATCACCAGGCATCAAAAAGGCACCCTTGAGCTCACTGTCCAATCTCAACAGGCAGTCCGCCACAAAGAACGCAGATGGAACCTGACACTATTGATGGCGGGAAGGTCTTGAAGTGGGAAGAACGGAAGAAATAACACCGCCTCAAAAAACAAAATGTGAAGACGAATACCCCTACAAGGAACCCGGTCTGGATAGCACTGACACAGCGGCTTGAGCCAGCAATAATTCTTCGAGATGTCCTGCCGTGGACGCTGCTAAACACAGAGTTCTTTTTGCGGCTCAACATCAAACACACCTTAAATAAGGATTCTTCAAAAAACAACTTACAACCCGGCCCTCCTTTAAAGTAGGCGTTGCGAGGTCGCTTTCCAAAGGCACAATCTGCGCGCCAGCTGGGACCTTGTTCGCATGGATGATCTCCAACGCTTTGCTCGGCATGGCCCGCAACCACTGTCCAGCGATGTCTTCCTGGGATTTCCACAGTAGCGCTGAGCAACATCGACACCGGCTTCACAGCACACCCTCCCCACCCCAAAATAGAACACACACAAAAACAGACAAATATTGGGTAAGTTGCCACCATCGCCTCGTTCCATTCCACTTTTCCAGACCCTTGGATTTGGGGCTTGCGATTGGTCACCAACACAAAACAGAACCTGAAGGAAATGCAACACTTGAAAAGGAGCCAAACAAACGCCAAAACTTGTTCTAGCACAGCCGTGGGCACGCACCGACTTCCACTGACTGGTTCGGGACATGGGCGCAAACACTGGCGTGAGCTGGTGGGCTGGACACGTCGGGCTCTTGGAAACAAGTGCTGCTTTTTACAGGCAGTGGCCGGCGAGTGTGACGCTCCCACCGGGCCCAAAAACAATAACACGTGTGTTTCGAGTTTTTTCAAAAACTTTCAATTTGTGTAACTAACAGTGCCTTTCGAGAGGCCGATATGCGTGACCCTCCCTCGGGTTTGAGAACCACCTGCGCGCACTCCGCTCTGCAGGATCGCGTTGATGAGTTGCGAGCTGAAGGGTGCGCAGTGGATTGAAAGAGGTGGCTTTAAACCACGTTCTTCACAAAAAAACAGCACACAGTCTAACCCACTGGATAGGCAGGTCATGCTTAGGTCATGTTTTTCACAGATGTTTGAAAGAACACAGCCCAGACCAGCATCAACTAGAACAGAGGCAGGTTGTGCGTTTCACCGTCCGTTCAAACCACACACTCGAAAAGAAAGATGGTGCCAAGCTGGCTTGCAGGGGCAGTTATGTGTTTAATCACGGAAGCTCCAAAACATAAACCTATAGGATCGGAAGTTCCAAAACATATACCTATACAGGCTAGGACTGACGCTGTGAGCGTTTCCTATCTATTTTACAAAGCAACATGCACTGCCAAAAAGTACAGCGCACGGCTTCCAAGAAAGTCCATGTAAGCCATGTGGAGAGACTGCAAATTGTGGTAGCTGAGCTACACTTTCAACAAAGCACAGCTGCAGCTGTCGTTTGCAGCAAAGCTGCCCCAAGCGCAACTGGGGAGCCTAAGGGCAAGAGGAAGTAGGGCCCAAAGGGAAAAAGACGAACGACGAACCGACAAGATGACGTCGTGGCGTGCAAGTCTGCGGAGCTCACTAGCACTTTACAAAAGGAAGAAGGGTGGCCACCAGCTGCGTCTTATAATGCGCCCAGGTGCACCAAGCAGGTACGTTTTCACGACAGCTTGGATGGGTCTTCGTTGGCCCATGCCATCCAAGTGTCCATGGGCCCCCTGCTGGAACAAAGTTAGAAAATAAGAAAGCAAGCCGAGCAAATCCAAAAGGATCCCTATGATTCCAAGGGTTACACACACACACACACTTCGACCCATGCTGGCAAGAGCTCTATCAGTTTTGAAATTCCCGAGTTACTGCAATTTAGACCTTGACTGATTTACAGCAAAGCAACGCATGAGACAGGTTGAGTTTTACTTAGAGTTCTAGGCAATTACTGCAGGTTAGACCTTGACTGAATTACAGCGAAACAACGCATGAGACAGCTGGATTTTTACTTAGAGTTCTAGCTTGCAACAAGGACTCATTAGCACTTTACTTGCGCACTAGCCCTTTACAATCTAGTTACTGCACTAGCCCTTTACATTCTATAGTTACTGGCAGAAACGCTGAATTAGACAGCTTGAGCGTTGCGTAGACTCCCTTCAAGATTGTTAAAGCATGTTAAGCCTGGATGCAGGTACGTCCAGCTGGCCAAGCTGGATATCCCATTTCACTGGTAGCTTCATTGGACACAGTCCCAGAGAAATGCTGTTGCTCCCTGCAGGTCTGTACTGAAGGTACATAGGGAAATCTAATTTAGAAGGTTGTGGTCGTTCTCCTTTGGGACAGGAGGTGACACACACACATGTAGCCGCATCGGCGCTCCCTTGACTGAAAAACTAACCTGACACCTACAAAGCCTCTAGCAACGAACGAAAACGTGGAAACAAAGGAAAGAAAGAACCCTGGAAAGAGAGAAAGCAAGACGTGCATGAATTACTCAGGGTGAAGCTTGCAAGTGAATACTTAGCACTTGATTAAAAATTGACCTGAAACCCAAACAGCCGCTAGCAACAAGCGAAAACCTAGAAAGAAACGAAAGGACCCTGGACGGAGAGAAAGCAAGACTGTGCATGAATTACGCAGGGTGAAACTTGCAAATGGATACATTAGCCGCATGTCATGACAAGTGGTTACACCAGCAGCATGGCATGTCATTCTTTGTTGAAATCTCAATAATCCCTGGAGCTTTGTAGCAGCAATCTCGAGCAGAACGATAAGCCGGTGAGTATCGTGCAAGAACGCAATCCTGTGACTGATCGCCCTGGAGGGCCTGTGCTAAACGCGCCCAAATCTGGGATCACACAACAGGCCGCAGTGGGAACCTGTTGCGAAACACACTTCGATCCATGCTGGCAAGAGCTCTATCAGTTTTGAAATTCCCGGGCTACTGCAATTTAGACCTTGACTGATTTACAGCAAAGCAACGCATGAGACAGCTTGAGTTTTACATAGGGTTCTAGGAAATTACTGCAGGTTAGACCTTGACTGAATTACAGCGAAACAACGCATGAGACAGCTTGAATATTACTTAGAGTTCTAGCTTGCAACAAGGACTCGCCCTTTACAATCTAGTTACTGCACTAGCCCTTTACATTCTAGTTACTGGCAGAAACACCGAATTGGACAGCTTGAGCATTACGTAGACTCCTTTCAAAAATGTTAAAGCATGTTAAAACTTGATGCAGGTACGTCCAGCTGGCCAAACTGGATATCAAAATTTCACTGGTAGCTTCATTGGACACAGTCCCAGCGAAATGCTGTGTCCCCCTGCAGGTCTGTACTGAAGGTACATAGGGAAATCTAATTTAGAAGGTTGTGGTCGTTCTCCTGTGACACATGCGCGCACACACATGGTACACTCAAGTCTCTCAAGTGCGCCACATTATGTCCTACTATTGACCGGGGCTGGGTACGGCTTCAAAGTCGTGTGCCCAAACCAAATGGCAAATGGTTCGTTTAGACGGACACCGGTTCGGTCAGTTCACGGGAATAGTCGTAAAGTTATTTTTCTTTGGAGGCACATATGTAATGTTTGTCTACGTATTTCTATGGCAGCAACTTTTTGTCAAACACCTCCCAACTCCATAGATCATTTGTGTCCAACCCTGGCTTCCTTTGAGGCTTGGACTGCCTGTGTCAGTGCGGTGCAGCAAGGAATGCTGAAGGCGGGGTTTTGGTGCAACCACATGCCACATCACACGATTGAGTGATCCAAAGGCTTCACGCGGCGAAAAGTCGGGCATTCTCTTTGGGGTTTGGCATTTCGCATGGCTGTAGCTAGAAATCATGGCGAACTTGGGGGACTGTGCAGTTTGGAGTACAGATGGGTCCAGTATTCCTAGCACCAGGACCGCAGCTCTCTTTCATTTTGTCCTGGCACACTTTCCCTGAAAGGTAGCATGTATCCTGATAATGGAAGCATGGCAGAAGCATGGGAGAAGCGCGTGGGAGCAATTACTGTATCATCGAATATGGAAACACGTCTTTCACAGCACCTGCAACCTATCATAAGGCAGCTGTTCGTCGGCTGCCCATCCAGATCAATCCCAAGAGAGTCCCTGGTCCAAGGGACTTGATGGACTGGATTCGGCTGGTTAGAACTGCAGGAGCATGGCATCAACGAAGGTCGTGTGGTGGAGACAGAACATCCCTACGCTGCCAAGAGCATCTTGGTGGAGCTGGTCGTGGGTGGTGGAGCCGGGCAAGTTGTGCTGCTGATCGGGTGGAGCAGGGCAAGCTAGACGACGACGGTGGTGGTGGGGGTTGTCGGGGTGTCAGCTTGACTTAGCAGAGAAGCACTATATGATATAAAACATATATCATATATACATATTATATATATATAACATTATAAAACAGTACTTTGATTCAATCTGTTTCCTGCAGTGAGGTGACTACTGCAATGTGTGGGTCTGGATCAAAGCAAAGCAAACATCCAAACATTTGGCAAAAATCACGGTCTCTACTGGTTGCATGGTCACCAGGTGAATGTGACGCACTCGTCCGAGGCCCCCCTCCCTTTCCTTGGAACACCCAGGTGCGCGCTGGAGCGAGACAGTGCGCTTCGAGAATGCCAAGCAATTGCAGGTGTGGCCTATAGGTGACATTGCCCTCCAGATTTGTGGTCGTGCATGAACTTTGGTGGCAGCACCCGAACAGACCTGCAGCCGCAGTCGCACTGGCGACTGCGCTCACTTGTGTCGCGCCCACGGCGAGGTCAGCTTCTCGAATCGCTGTCGAACCTATGACAGTTGCGCCTCCGTGAGCCCCTGGGCGATCGACCGGCCGCGCCATTGGACGGAGCCGAATTGGGGTCGCCGAGGTTGGACGTCAAGTGGCATGTGTGTACGGTGTCGTACGCAACCGATGGCTTCATCATGTATCCAGGCGAAGCTTTTGTTGCACATGTTTATCCATGCTTTTGCAAACTCTATGAGTCTGGTCGGAAAAAAAGGAAGACCGGGAGGAGACTCATTGGCTCATTGAATTCCCTCCTGTGGGGGAAATCTAGTTGAAGTGGTGCATTGTGGGCTGAGAGTGCTTCAGCCATGTGCTAAATGTGTTCCAAAGCGGATGTGAGCCAGACTGACTATATAACCTGACTAACCTTGCCTGAAGTTTCTTGGCACAGCCCCACAAAAAATTGAAATTCACCTGGCACCCACATTCCACTCCTTGGAACTGACCCACGACCTCGGTCGTGCTGACTCCCAGGTGTCCATTCAGGCAGCCTCAGCAAGGCCAATGCCGGAGTTGGCGCCCGAGTGCAGGTGCAGGCAACGGCCCGCAACGGCCGGCGATTAGGTGATGAGAAGAATGACGGCATTCTTTGTTTTTCTCCAAACAAGGAACACACACACACAAACAAAAAGTGGTTGTTTTGAAGCATTTCGACTGATTTGAGGATTCGCTTTTCTCCCCGCCAGGGCGGTCTCTGCAAATGAATGTTCATCCATGAAGCATAGTGAATGGGAAGAAGTATGGCAAGATATTTTGATCGTCTTTCTTATCTGGCTTTTCACTGAGCAAAAACCGGAGTTTGCCATGGACCGATAAGACTAGGGTTAGTTCTACCATGTTCTACTACTATGGCTTCACCAGAACTGGTTTCGAATTGATACCTGATTTCGAGACACCGGGCTGTCGTGTGTCCAGGGCTCGTACTTCCCGGCCATGCAACTACTGGGCTCTCCTCCGGTCAGGCCATGGCCAGCGACGCCTCGATCCATGGCACTCTCACGGGGCGCCTGGAGGGGCAGAAGTGGAGCGTCCGCCCCCGGGGCCGCAGTAAGGAGCGTCGGCCACGTCAGGAGTGGGCAGGGAACGCGGGTGGTCGGTGGTCCGTGCTTTTCTCGGGCGTGGGAAGCATAAGCTTTGGGATACGGCAAAATTTGGGACCAAGTCAAGGGGAACGAAGACGGAAACGCTCTTGTTTTTCTTTGGGATACGGAGTGTGATTCTGCAAAAATGCGAGACCGACCAATCACCTTGTCGCATCTCTCTGTTTCGGAGGGGACGAGAGAGATAGGCAAACCATTTCGTTTGAAATGAGTTCCTCAATTATTTTTAAGTCATCACAGCGAACTCGTACAGTCTCATCAAGAACTGGGCGGAGGTGTTGCACTCAAATGTTACTGTGTTACAGCTTTTGCCGACCATGGTCAGAAAATCACCTGAAGAGTTCTTGTTTTTCCTTACAGACCTTCACAGATCTCGTGGATTCTAGGCTAGACACAGATGTGCCTCCTGCGCCCAACGGCTCTCTCAAATATGGCCACAATATGCCACAATGTTCCAGAAGGAAACACGTTAAACCACTGTGGAACAAAAAACATGGCCACTGTGAAACCATCACTGTACCAGTGTATGCTGTATACAACCACCACTGTGGTGTTTTGTGGATCTGGTGACCGGTGATGGAGCACAGGAGTTTCAACATCCCCCGCCCAAGGCATTGACCACGATGAGGCAGAGATTTCTTCTCAGTTCCGCGAGTGGTTGGAGGCAAAGAGACCCAGCGGGACAGGCGGAAACGAGTGAGAACCCAGGGCGGAGCCACGAAAAATTGGGTTTTCAATGTTTTCATCCAAAAAGCAAGGTGTTCCATGGTTTTTGGAGGCTGAACACCAGGTTTGGGATGGTTTTGGAGCTCAAGAATCAAACTTTGGGCCCCGAAAGAATTCTTTTAGCCCCCGGGATGTGGATGTCGCTGGCACGGCTGTGGAGTCCCGAACTTCCGAGACCAGCAACTTTTAGCACAAGGAGATTAAATCCAATGCATGACACATGCAGACTGGGTTGTACAGGAGTTTCTTTCAAAGACATGCTGAAAAGGTAGAGTGTGTGGAAGGGTTCCTAAAACCTGGCCGTGGGCATTTGAAGGGAGATTGTGACTCGATCTTTCTTTTGGAGGAAATTAGTTTGCACCGACATCATCCGACAACAAAGTACACCCTTTCTTTTCTCAAAAGCCAATGAGTTGCAGAGCGATATCAGTGCCGTGCTTGCTTGCCAACTTCATGCTCCCTGCGGCTCCGATGCACGAAAACCGTGGAAGATCGCAATGGAGGTTCCCCGTTCATCAGCCTATCCATGCCGCGGAGACCAGTTCTGCGCATCACGCGGAACTCGCCCAGTTCTGCAGAACTCACCGCGCAAGACGCGCGAGTGTTCACTACAAACAGCGCAATCCCTTGAGAGCAATCCCGACAGCGCAGTGAGTGGGAGCAGGTGCAAGTTCAACTTGAACCTTTCTGTTCGAGAAGCATGCATGACACGTTCGAACTGAGACTGAATCAAGTCATGTCAAGTCATGTCAAATGCCGGAAACGTTTCTTTAGAGAAGAAGCAATCCTGTATGCGGCCCAAAGCACCGGAGAATTCGCCATGCTGCCAGGCAGACCCTGCGCGTAACAGCATGGTCACGGTGGCTCAAGAGGTGACCTGTGTTCACCGGGCGCCGGTGAAGGTCGTTGGTTTCAGAGTAGATGGCACACTCCAGAAGGTCGGTGGTTTAGTAGTGGATGCCCCCATCTGTCTAAGACATGTAGGGGTGCCAGTGGCATCTTCTCTGAAACCACTATTTTCTGTAGTTTATTGTTATCTTTTTAACGCCACAAAGGTCACAGAATAACGTCTCAACAAAGGAATTTGTTGTTTGCTCCTTTGTAGGGTTTGGGATATTACAGAAAGATACCTTGAGCGGTGATGTGAAAGAGACATGTTGGTTTCAACATTTGAATGTCCAGTGTTTTGATATGAAAGCGCCAGAGTTTGGGTGATTGGTGCTCCAACGCAGTCATCGTCTAATGGTTGCGGGGTGGTTGGGGAGAAAATGGAAAGCAATGGCACCGAAAGGATGTGTGTGAAAGCTCGACAGGACCCCATATTTGCTCTCAGCCAGAATTCTTAGTCAGAATCGTGCACTACTCATGTCAGATATTGGCAAACACTCGAAAACTAGAAGCAATATTGTGCCTTTCCAAGTATTTGGTTGCGTGACTGCGCCTCCAAAGTGAATCAACACCTTTGATGCTTCCATGGGCTACCGTATTCTATTTGTACGTAGTCTTCAGCAGGAGGGAAATAGATCGTGGTGGCCATGAGGAGTGAGGGCATGTGAAAGATTGAAGCCCCTCCCCGACATGAATGTAACTTGGAACGTCACCTCATTGTTGGGGGCCAAGTTCTCATACCGGGGGATCCACGCTCTGAAACAGGACTTGAGTCTTGGAACACCAAGAGGACGAGCGAGCAAATGGGTCTTCGGGTAGTGGGTCTAATTCTTTTGGTTGGTTATGCAGCCCTTCAAGTATAGTTTGGATCCAGGAGGGGGGGGTATCCAAGGTGGCTGATGGTTCTTCCTGTCATGTTGCAGATGGCATGTGATGGTTTGACTGAGTTTCAAGATAGTGAAGAGAATTATGCTCGCAGCCGGTTATTCTCTCAGGCCCGACCTTTTGATACCTTTTGTATGATAGTTTGATAGTCCAGTTCCTTCAAATTCCTGACACCACACCAGCAATTTGCACGTTGTCAAGGATCCTGTGAGAGAGCCTTGGGAAGGCCGCTGTGTTTGCAGGTCAAGGTGGTCGAGGCCTACTACGAGGATGGCCTCAAGGTGCGTGGCTCATGGGTTGGTGTGCTCTGGATTGACAGGCTTTAAACTTTAAACTTTCTTTCCATTCATGCTGTAAGGATTTTTTGGCATGTGTTGGGAGGGCACCATTGCAGTTGGCCCCTTGCAAAATCCAAGATAGACCATGTCTGCTCTGAAGTTCCTGGAAACGCCTTTGGTCAGCCTGACGTTTTCGTGTGCAGGTCCAGAGGGGTAGCATGCGCGTTGCTTTTCTTTTTTTCAACCATTTCACCATGAATAGACCGTCCTCCAAGTGATGACGATTCGAATGGAACACCCCGAGCCGTGCAACTGGCAGCGGTTTCTTAAAGACCCTCGTGTTTTTTTGTGAGCTCGCTTTCGGTTTCAGAGCGCTTTAGAGTTTCATATACAGATTCTCTATGATTCTCTTGTTTTTTCGACATGACAACTGGTTTTTGTTCCATTCCCACCACCCCCGGGGCAGCGACGAGACGTCCCGACCAGTGACCAGATCCGGGTTCCGACGTCGCAGGCGGGCGATGAGATTCATGGCTTCCATTTGGACATGTCCAGTCCCATGACGCCTTTCAGTGACTTGGTGGAGGTCGGGAAGTGGTCAGAAGTGGTGTTTAGAAGTACAGGACAGTTCGGGTGGTGCAGGTGACGCATCCAAGGTCCCCTGGAACTCAAGAAAAAACATGGACAATCACCATGAATTAGCAACAGAAGGTGAAGTCTCATGCTATGCTTTTGTTTCGCATGTGGGTGATCGGTTCAAGAGTTGCATTGTCTTTTGAATCATCAAAAGATCCACAACATGTTGCTGTCAGAATCTGTCGGTGTAAAACTGTGAAACTGCATCACACTGTCGTCAGAAGCTTTCGCTGAAGTTGCCTTAGGCTTGTTGCAAAAAAAACATCACACCGTTTCTAGCAAGGGTTGAACACAAGTTGAACACAAGTTGGATCGCAATGGTTGATCGTCTCATGTCGATTGAAACCCCAAAAATCAGGTCTCCGTGACCTGCGGGACCTCAATGTTTCCACCTGTTCGTCCCAGTTCCCACACCCCTCGACACTCTCGTTCCACCCTCGTGCGACCTGGATACGCCGCCGCCTTGGTGTGAAAAACCCCGGGGTGCCGACGCGCTTCACGAGGTGTGACTGGCTTCAAGAGTATGGGCCCAGCACAAGAGGCATCGCACGGGCGATCTCCGCTTTGTGAGTGGACATCGGTGCCCTAGAGCCATGAAATGCGGTGTATTGGGTGCTGAAAAGGAGAAAACAACTATATATAGATACACACACACTTCATCACACTTGGATATAGGCTCGCAAGAAGATAATCAGTTGTGATGGTCCGGTGATGCGGCTAGCACTTTACGATACTGAAGATTAGACCTTGAGAAATGCATAACGGTAAGGCGAAACGTCTGAGGAACCGACATGTTGAACACACACACACGGAAAAGCACCTCATACGGAAAAGTAGGGTGAACAGCTTCTTCAATAGTTCAAAAGGCGGGTGAAACAAGCAGGTACGTTTGCACAGGAAACGTGCAGCGTCTTTGTTGGCCGCTGACTGCACGAATCCCCAGCGCCCCCTGCGTAGATGGTGCATTAAACATGTGTGAATCCCTTAGGAACAGGGTTTGATACACACAGTATGTCAAACAAGATTTAATGTTACTCTAGCAGGTATTTTGGGAGGTTGTTTACGTTTTTTGTGACCCCAAGGAGTTTGCACACACCTGGATTTGGATTTGGAGTTGTTTGAGAAACACCTACTTGAGAATGTGTTGGGCAATGTTGCAGCAGAAGATGTGAGAGCGCTACGTGTGTTCCTTCTGCGAGGATGGCGTGATGGTGGGCTGGTACTTAGACGTGGACGCCTTGATCCAAGAGGACGCTTCCTGCGTGGGCTGAAATCCCTCGTGGCCCCCGGTGTGATTTGTTCGATCACCTTGTTTCTGGCGGTTCGGGCCGTGGCATGAGAGTGGGGGACAGCACCAGGAGATGGAGAAAGGCGTGAGGTAGGAAAAGAAAGCAAGCTAGACAAAATCACAAACACAATGGCCCAATGGCCATCAAACCAGTCAAAGCTAGCAAACCAAAACCAGTACTTAACGAAGAACTAAACAGAAAAGGACAAAGTGATTGTTATTTCTGTTTGACATTTTCTAGATTCTTTGCCATATTTTTGTGTGCTACATGCTTGAGACGAGTCATTTGCAAAAACTTGGGGCACTCGTTTGATTTCTGCTCAAGTTGTCCAAGTTTGCGCCATCGACTTGTCCCTTTGTGGAGGGTTCTCGGCAATTTCCCTCGTGTTTCTTTGGATTGATTGTGCACCGGGGAAAGCACCCCCAGCACCTTGGGCGTTGATTCGTGGGGTGTGAGGGCAAGAAAACTCTCCATCCATCCAATCTCACCACTCTCTTGGACCATCAAGAAGCTACGTTCGGGGCTCCTGGCATCGCTACTAGGAGCGATCGGACGCTACGTTCGGGGCTCCTGGCCGTACTACTACGAACAAGAAGCTACGAACGGGCTCCTGATCCAATGGGTGTCCTGGAGATCCCTAGGCCGCTCTCGCGTCGCTCCGGTCGCTCCCCCGTTTCCACAGGAGTCGTTCCAAGAGTTGGAAGCTCCGGAGCTCGGTCCCTGCCCGACCTGTTGGGAAGAAGCCACTGCTGTGCCTGGGATTTTTTTGAACGAAAGGAAGGACAGGAAGGACAGGAAAGGAAGGAAACTACGCTGAACATACTTGGAGCTATCCCAAAAACCGGTGTGCCCCAACAGCCAGAGCAAAACAGAATTGTCGACGCTTTGCCCCGTGGTTGCTCAGAGGCTTTTCCACCGAACTTGGGATGGAGTGCCATCACCCTGATACTGAGCTTTTCCCACACGTGGCAGGAATTGGGATCTGAAATGGCTTTCCCGCTATTGGGTCAAAGCTGCTATCCAGTTGGAATGATAGCTGGGGCCAAGCGGCCCAACCGCAAGTGACACCTTGAACAAGAAGGGACACGAACAGCAAAGTTACCGCGCAGCATCAACATGGCGTCGTGACAATCACGCCATCAAACGAACTCCCAGCCTAATTGCAGATCCTGCGCTGGCTGAGGATCTGCAGTCCTTCCAAAAACGCTTGGATTTGATGCTCCGGGAGGCCCGGTGGGGCCTTTGTTGGTGTTAAGACTAGACACACATAAAAACAGGGGATGGTCGGCCTTTGAAGAGGACTGACAGTGGTGTGTGTGTGTGTGCCCCTTGTAGTCACAGGGATCCTGTCGGATTGTACCAATTTTTATCGTTTTTCAGCAGGGGGGGCGCAGCAGATGCAAGGGACTGCGCCTAACAAAGCTACCTTGCATCTGGGAAGCCAGGTCTGATCAACCTGGTGTACCTGCTTTTGAGAACCTAAGTACGGCAAAAGCTGTCTCATTCTTTGTTGTGCAGTAAGCGGCTAATGCAGCGGCGACTCACCTTGGAGTATTTGGACCTTCAGAGCCCCACGGATTTGCACGCCCCGTCGTCACCTTGTCGACCCGTCGTTTCGTGGCTTTCGACCTTGGCCTTTAACTACAGGCGCTCAGGCCCCCTTACCTGGCTTTTCAGGATTTGGTTTCTTAGGCCGGCGTGTGGCACCGCTGTCAAGTCAGTACGCATATCCATAAGTGTGTCTCTCCCAGTGAGAGTCCGGGATGAGCCCGTAGAGTGCCTCCCGTGGACCCGTCGAACGGGTGTTTGTCGTTATCTCCCATGCCCGGAGATGTAAGTGCCCAGAGCGGGTGGCCTAGGCCGAGAGAATTCAGATTTTTGTTTCATTTTTGGAATTCCAAGTTGGCTTATGCCTTTACGTGACCGCAGCGGTCACAGCAGCCAGCCACATTGGCACGGCGTACGTGGCCGCAGCGGCCGAAGTTTGTTCAAGGTTCATTGGAACCTGTCGCGAGCTTAGTCCCCCCCCTTCCCCTTCCCTCCCCCTTTCTTTCTTTGCTTTTTGGGGTTGTCCTGAATGGAATACTCAGGGTCACCCCTCTCTTTCTTTGGTGTGTCCCTGGACGATTGTTCGTAGCTGGGAACACCTGCCTTTTCCTTTTCTCTCCTCTCCCTTTCTCTCCCTCTCTCTTTCTTTCTTTCTTTCTTTCTTTCTTTCTTTCTTTCCTCTCTTCACCCTCCTTGGGTGTCCCTGGATGCTTTTGTCATAGCTGGGAACCCTTCTCCTTCTTTTGGTGTGTCCTTGGACGCTTGCGTCGTAGCTGGGAACACCTTCCTTTCTTCCCTTTCCTTTCTCGTCTCTCCCTACCCCTCCCTCTTGTCGGGACCTTAGCTTGGGTTGCTACTTGGGGCTCCTGGCCTTTCTACTAGGTGCCAGGTTGCTACTTTGACGCTACTAGAGGTTTCTGGCCTTTCTACTACTTTGTCCGCGCCTATCGAGGACGTACGTCTTATCGACGTACTGAGTCGCAAACATGAGAATTGGACTCTACGAATGGCCGATTGGTTCAGTTTGAGGTATTCCGGAATCGTCCAGAGTCCAGAGGCCTCCCTTTGGGGAGGCGTGTGTGTGTGCCCCTTGTAGTCACAGGGATCCTGTCGGATTGTACC